CTTAATTCAGCTATTCGTCCAGTGCCTCATAGCTCTGAAATACCAGTTCTCCTCCCACCTTCCAGTTTGGATGATATGCAGAGTGATTTGGAGGACAGAACTATATTACCACCCTAGGATGAATGCAGCTCAGATTTTTCTGTTGATGAGGGACCCCAACCTTTTTCTCAGAGTGAGCTCAATGACTTAGTTAGAGATTTAGGCCTTTCCAAAGATGCAGCCGAATTGCTAGGGTCAAGACTAAAAAATAAAAACTTGCTGTCACCTGGAACATCATTCTCGTGGTACAGGCACTGAGAGAAGGAATTCACTCAGTTTTTTCCAAAGAGGGGAAATCTCGTTTTTTGTAATGATATTCAAGGGCTCATGAAATGCTTTGAAATCGAATATGATCCATCTGAGTGGCACATTTTCATTGATTCGTCTAAAACAAGCCTCAAAGTAGTCTTGCTGCATAATGGAAATACATTTGCATCAATTCCTATGGGACACTCAGTGCATTTGGAAGAAAACTATAACGATTTGGCTGTGATTCTTGAGAAAGTCAACTATCAAGAACATCATTGGATGGTTTGTGGAGACTTCAAAATATGAACCATGTTGCTGGGCCAGCAGGCAGATTATACAGAACATCCCTGCTTCTTATGCCTGTGGGACAGTCGAGCCAGAGACACCTATTATTTTCCAAAAAACCATACGTGATAGGGGGAAATTGAGGTCATTTTTGGATTCAGCATCCTAGAAAACAAAGTTTACCAAAAATATTCCATGCAGCTGAAAAAAAAAATATATTTTTTCAGACCTGTGTAATCTGTTATAATTGTGGAAGGCATGTTTCAAATAGTTTTCAACCACACAAGCTATACATACCACTACTTACAACTAAGCCAGTACCGCTGACGATTATGCTCTAGAGGTGAGCAATTCTGTTCATATTTGGAATGCCTCACTTTTAAATTTTTGTCCGCGAATATGCTGCCCTGATAACTATTCCACTATTTCCTCAATCACTCCAGACAGACACTGGTATAGTATCTTCAAATAGGCCGTGAATGCTTCAACATTTATCTGAATTCTTTTTTCAGCAAACAAAGAAGCAATGTCACTTCAGCTTTTGAAGGGAATGTATAAGTACCTGCATCAGCAGCCTGGATCATGCTGACATCATTGCCTCCATCCCCCACTGCAGCTGTGCGTCTACCGGTGTGTCTCTGAATGAGACGCACCACCTCAGCCTTTTGTGTGGGTGAACAGCGACAACATATTACGGCTGGACAACCACATGCGAGCTCCAAAAATTCATGCTGATAATACTGAAGACATACCTGCAAATATAATTAGGGTCATCAGTTATTTATCATATAAAATAATTTGTGTCAGCACTGTATTATTTTCCATTTTCTACTTTCATAAAAAGGTGTCTTCATAAAAGCTATATAGTTTCTGAAGGATATTTCAGGATCTTGCATTCAGTTGTACTAGTGTTATTCCCATTTCACAAGTATGGAAGAGCATCATGTTTGTATGAGGACAGGGAGGTCTCCAGCTGCATGTTCATACTAGGTTTGGAAAAGACTGGCTTGTATATAGTATCTACAATACTGATGTTTGTTAGTGACTCAGGAATGGAGCTGTCTTGTTGTGTTCTGAAGTAAAAATCCCCGTTTTACATATCCTCACCCTTAAAATGGAGGAAAGTAGCAGTGGTTGTGGTGGTAGAAAATGTAGTATTTCAATGGACAGATATGTCAACAATGACTAGTAGTATCAATTGTTCTCATAATAAAAGGAGAACTGTTCTATTTTCCTGTCACCAATTTTGTGGACTTGCAATTTGTGAGTACAGTAAATCAATCCTCTATTCAGTATAACACTGGATAAGTAGGTATAGTAATAATGCTCAACTTGCATTCACAAGGTACCTGGTTTAAATCTGTTGGTTATTGGCTACCATTTCCCTCTTGCCCTTTGTATGTTTCAGGGCACCCTTCATGTTGTACAATCTCTCGCTAGGGGATATGGTTTGATATGAAGAGAATGTCTAGTATGAACTTTCCCCTTCATAACACCATTTTTTGCACTCACTAAAATTTAGTTCACAATAATGACGCAAACAGTTTGTGGTGCAGTGAGTGGAAAATAGAAATTGGTTACTTTTGGAATTTTCAATTACTCAAATGAAAATAAGCATACTCAAGTTACCTCTAATGAATCTCCACTAATAACAAGCGCACAATCCTGTTTCTTACGGAATGTATTCAGTTCCAGATGGGCATCAGTACGAGTAACTACACATTTGAACACATGAAGACCTTGTGTCCTTGACACTAAGCGAGAGCTCTTGGCGATGCAAGTTGCTGTCTCAAGTTTATCACCTGTCAACATCCAAATCTGCAACATATGAACCAACTTATGGTTTAAAACTTTTAATATTTATAAAGTTGCAATGTTCGAAATACAAATAAGTGACAATATGTCCACTTATGTCACTGAATTATTATTAAGTTCATGTTGCATTAACTGCAATAAACTATCAGTTTTAATGTATTACTTTCTCATATACACAATATAAGAAAGTAGTGTGATCATGAAAAAATATGATGTTGAGATGCTGATGGATTTACACATTTTCAGCCTCTGAATACAAATAGGTATTTGGAATGCCATTGGTGTGTCTGTATGCATACATGTATGGATGTGCATCTTGCCATGCCTGAATGATATGGCAGATTTTATTCATATCTGGTACCGAAGAGTTATCCATCCTTCGCAAATGTAAACATTCCAGCATCAAAAAACAGAGGCCCTGCATATGGGCCCCAAAACGTAATACAGCGATTCTCTTCAAAGTTGTAAGGATTATGATTAAATTTCAGTAATTTGCAGAGACCACATCCATAAATATAACTGAACAGGAAAATAAGGAGGTGTGCACTTGGGGCCCAAATATGAAATGTCAGTTTTCTTGAAACCAGCTTTACTGGTCACATGCACTTTACTGTTTGGTATTTAGAAACCAACAATCATTTACCAAGCAATAATTCTTTCTCATAAGTAATGTTTACAAGGCCACTCATATATGAGAAAATACATGCAAAATCTTTCTGCTGATTCTTTACCGTCCATAACAGATTATGCAATGCAGATTTAGAATATATTATTGTCCCCTTTCATAATGCACTGCCTACATTAGACAATTAAAGAACATCAATGCCTTAAGGTTACACAACAGTTACCAAAGAACAGCATTTTATAACGATGTGCAGTAAACCAAACCTTGATCCCAGCATTGCGTAGTAATTCCAAGGTGGGACGTACTCTGTCCTGTAATCTATCTTCCACTCCTGTCACACATAAGAGCTCCATTTCTCGCTCTAAACTCTCAACGACGGCAGCAACACGTGCAACACGGTCTGATACAGACATCCTTGCAGCATTATATCGTGTCTATACAGGAAATGGGAACATTATTTAGATGAAATATTTCAACAATACTGTGTGTGTATTACAGTAAAATACTGAATTAATTTTGATTTTTCTTGGCATTATCCATGGACTATTCTTTATGTAAAATCATGCTGTAATGTTTTAAATGGACAAGCTACAGCTAGATGAACAGTTATAGTGCAATGTCTTTGGTTTGCTACAACAGGTGAGCATATATGTGGGTGGTTCAATGTTAACCTGGACTTCATTCTTTTTTTCCTGAAGATGTGGATACCAGAAAAATAAAACTGTTTTATGGACAGTAGATGATATCATTGCTTTCGGTGCCTGGTAGGTGGCCATCTACCCCACTTCTGTGCATCAGGGCTTAGTACAAGGTGCATCAAACCTTGACACCCCTCAGTAAAAGAGCACTGTATCATCAAATTCCTAGTGACACAGAAAGTTTTAATAACATGCATCCTATTGTGTCATAAACAATATGCACAAAATGTATACAAAAGTACGCATTCTCCACAAAAATATTCTGTATTTAAAACAAAGTAAAAGTAAAACCACCAGAAATTGTTCATAGGTTAAATGCACAATATGGGGAAGAGACCTTGTTACATCTGAGTGTCTATGGTTGGTACAATAATTTTTCTGAAGGCTGTAAAGAAGTCTCAAACCTACTGCGTGCTCGTTTTCAAACAAGAGCAGTATACAATGTGAACATTTGCTGCATTAAAGAGATGATTTTGGGAAACAGGCGAAGTACAGTGCATGGTACTGCGTCCAACAGTTGCATAAGTGTTCAAACAATTATCCAGGAACACTTATTACTTGAGAAAGTGTGCGCCAGGTGGGTCCCAAAGAAGTTAATGTTTGACCAGAAGTCACAGTATGTTGCTTTGCCTGTCAAACATCTGCACTGCAATGAGATATGGGTGCATTACTTCAGTCCAAGGTCAAAGTGCTCCTGCATGGAATGAGGTCCAAAAGAATCGCCACCACCCAGAAAACATAAAGACACATCTGTGAGCTGGCAAGATCGTGGCAAGCGTGTGTTGGGATTCAAAACGGATTTTTTCCACATGGCATAACAACTAATGTATAGTATTACAATGCGCACCAAGCGATTTGGAAGAAAGGACCTGGGAAACTGTCAAAGATCATCAACCTACTGCACGGCAACTCTCCTCCACAAATGAGACAAATGCAATGATGGCCTCGGAAATCATGAACCACCATCCTTATGATCCTGACTCAGCCCCAAGTGATTTTAATTTGTTTGAACCAATGAAGGTGCACACAAGACAGAAATTTCAAACCGATGATGAACTCAAATGCGATGTCCTAAACTGATTATGCAGGGAGGATAAAAACTTGTATGCTGCTGCCATCAGTAACTCACGACGACTAAAAAAAAAAATGTGTGTAATGGAACAATAACTTGAAAAGGAGGGAGAGTCTTGTAATTTTGTCATGTACATTCTTTTGTTAAAAAAAGTCCCACTGAACCATGAATCACCTTTGTATGCTGAGACTTGTGTAGAGGTTGGATATGTCAGTGCCTTGGTAACAACATGAAATAAATGTGACATTCAGCCATCACTGATTGATCCGAACATTAATTACTTAAAATTACATTTAAAATTGTTCCTGTCTCAACACAACCACCATCAAAAAGTTACTCACACTTCACTGTGCAACAATCAGGTTACTGGTCTTATGGTATTACCAATAAACTCACTGTTGCACAGTGAACTGTGAGTTTCTGATGGTGGTTGTTGAGACAGGAACAATTTAAAAGTAATTTTATAGAATAACACAATAGGATGCATTCCTTGAAGATTAATTACTTATAATGGATAAATTTTATTAATGCAATGCTTTGTACTATTTAACTACATTTTCTCAAGTCACCATTTATGTAGGTGACCACTGTAATACAAAACATTCAACAAACAAGCTAATGTTGGTTGCTGCCAAATGGGTTCTGAAACTGATGAGAGTGACTTGTGGAGCAAGTGCCTGGGGCTGAGGTCTTCTACGAGGGTAAGTCAATAAGTAAGTTACAAATGGATATAGAACTTAAATAAAAAAGAGTACTGATTTGAAAAATGCTTTTATTTCTCAGCATATCTCCCTGTACATTGAGGCACTTGTCCCATCATTTCACAAGCCCCTGAAAACCAGCAGCATAAAATTCTTTGGTCTGCTGTCGGAACCAGGCAAGTTCACATGGCATGGGCCTGACAAGCTCCAGGACTTCCTGAACCACATAAACAGTATCAACCAGTGCATCCAGTTCACAATGGAAACTGAAACTGAAGGCCACCTCCCCTTCCTGGATATAGATATTTACAGGAGACCCGACGCTTCCCTGGGCCATAGAGTGTACCGCAAATCCACCCATACAAACATCTANNTCGCCTTCCTTCCCTATGTCGGGACCATATTCAACCGTATCAGCAGAGTGCTGTCCCGACACAACATCAAAGCAGTGGGTCTGCCTCCATACAAATTATCCAATTTCCTCCGGCCGGTTAAAGACAGCCTGGGCCTAAGGACACCGGGTGTATACAGTATCCCATGCGAGTGCGGGAAGGTCTGTATTGGGCAGACAGGCCGCTCCGTGGACATGAGGTTGAAGGAGCATCAGCGGCACATCCGTCTTGAACAACCGGACAAGTCGGCCGTAGCTGAACACAGCATCGATCTGGGACACCGCATTCAGCTTCAGAATACCTCCATCCTCGCCACCAAGACCCGCTATATGGATCGCATCATTAGGGGGGCAATTGAGATTGAACTGCATCCAGGAAATATGAACAGAGAGGGGGGGTTTTGTCTCAGCAAGTCTTGGAAACCACTCATCTGTTCTCTTAGAAAACCCTCACCGGGATATGACACCAGATCCAGAAGGCCACACAGGCCATGACCAACCAACATAACAACCACCCACCCCCACCCCCCTCAACTTACGGATTAGTGCCCAGCCTTTAACCTGCCTTTCTCTCCCCTACACAAAAACACGCTTGTCCCAGCTCCCTTCCCCTACCCCTCCCACACTACTGCTTTCACTTGTATACTTGCCATTCCCCCCTTTCCTCTGCTCTCACATAGCTGTGTATATTTCCACACAGTCTGCTTTTACCGGTTCTCACGGTCTCTTCGCTTTGCAGATTTCTTATATTTTTTCTTCTACCCTGAAGATGGAGGCGATACGTTCCTCCGAAACGTCGGTTAACACCACATATACACGGTGCCAAATCCCAGAAGACTGCTTTCTTCAAGTGTCTCAATGTACAGGGAGATTATGTTGAGAAACAGAAGCATTTTTCAAATCAGTACTCTTATTTGTTTAAGTTCTATATCCATTTGTAACTTACCTATTAACTTACCTACATGCTTTAGCAATTCTAAATAACTCCACTATGTTCAACTGGATTTGTATGGACTGGAAGGAGATGAAGAATCAATTCAGGTATTTGTATACAAAAAAAAGTAATGTTTCATGGCTGTCTAGACCATTACACTTAGTTTCAGATTAGGGAACTTTGATGACAATAAAGTAAACCATATTCTGTCTTCAAATCTTGTATCAGAAGAACAGTAATCAAACTGTGATAAAATTTTATATCCGTAACTCTCATTAAAAAAGAAATGTGCAGCAACAATTTATAGATTAACCTCACCCACCACTTCACTTGAATACCTATATCAATTTACATTAATCTTGATATGGTGAAAAGCTGTGCAAGTTGGTATGATACATGCATACATTATGTGCATTTTTTGACATGAAAAACCATCTATGAGAAAATATGATAACACATGTCCAATACACATAACCATCACTTTCTGAAATAGAATTTTTAAGTTCACTACCTGAATCAAGCACAACACAGTTATAGTCATTAAAAATAACAGAGTAGGAATAACCTCATTTCCTGCTTGAACTCACTGCTGTAATTCTATCAACAAAGTAGTGTATTTTATATCTCTTGCATTTTTGGAGTATATGACTTGTAAATATTTGTACAATGCATGACATATTCAATGACAGGTAAACAAGGAATTTTGCTGAAAGACAGCTTGTATTAGAAGGTTGCTTCTTCCATGATTTGGATGCAGAATGTACATCACTGGGACTCTGGTGTGAACAGTTAACCTTTGCAGTAATATTAATATTCTCATATCATGATCAGACATGCCACTTGAATGTGCTAGCCCAGTGATCGTATTTACCATGAAGGAAGGTAAATTCCCAAGAATATTTGTTATGATATTGTGACATAATGTCTGAAAGCTGGTAATGGCAGAACCAGAGAGGCCCACTGCTACACAATGGCTCTGTAAACATGTTCCCATAAAAAGTAAGTAAAGGTATCCCTGTAACAGGCCGTGGAGGCCCATTGGGTTGTGAGATGTTGAGTTTCCCACATTTTCTAGACCAGTGTTCCGCAACCGGTGTGCCATCACAAGGTGAAAGGTGTGATGCAAACTTTTACCAATTGTAAGAAATTAACTGTCGAATTTTATTCGTTTTATTTTATCCCAGTTACCTTGTTTCATATTCTTGTATTTTATTCTCAGCCACTGCACTGATTAAATAAGATGATGCTTGTTTATTCTTTATTACATGCTGTGATTTTTTATGTACAGCAATGGTGTATAAACGTAAATTATTTATTTTTATTTTTCTCGCATCGATGCAGCTTCTTTGATATGCTTGTCGCATGTTCTGTGTACGTGCTTTTCCCCAAAACTGCAGGGATTAGCATGGGTTTTCCTGTCTTTTATAACGCTGTTTCGGTATTTGTTTGAAGAGTAGAGGTCCCGCGTTTTACAGTTGTTTCAGTTCTATCATAGCTGTGCTCTGAAGTAGTTCGCAAATTTTGGTTGCTAGTTAGAGGATTACAGATGGGTCGTTAGAGATGTCCCCGACTGTATGGCCACTTGCTGACGGCAATAAAGTGGTGACGGACATAATTAAAGAACATTTATAAATGCTGGAGCAGAAATTCAATAAGTATTTTGGAGAGAGTGTGCAAGATTTCAACTGGGTTCGTGATCCCTTTGTTGTGAATTCAGAATATCTTCCGATTAATATACAAGAGGAACTCGCAAATTTAAAAGCAGACAGAACATTGAAACTAAAACTTCTCGAAGTGCCCTTGGATACGTTTTGGTTGGCAATAAGGAGTGGATACCCGGCTATCTCCGAGATGGCAGTTAATGTGTTATTGCCATTTTCAACTACATATTTGTGTGAACTGGTCTTTTCGACATTAACTGAAATTAAGACATCAAAGAGGGAGCAGCTCAAATCCATGGATGAAGAAATGAGACTTGCATTGTCAACGATTCCACCACGGATCAGTCGCCTGTGTGCAGGTACGCAGGCGCAAGTATCACATTGAGGGTATGAGTAGAATTACTGTATTTACTTTAATAGTAATAGAAGTGTATTTTCTACACTCTACAGTGAATTAAAGTTTATTAATTGCTAATAAATGCACGAGTCGATTTCTGTTTAATGATAATAAAATAACAATATAATAATATTATAGTAACAAGTTGATCAAGTTATGTATTTATATTAATTGTCTGATATCATGCGTTTTTGAGGGGAATAACATTTTGGTGTGCGGTGTTGAGTCATGGATACTTTATGGTGTGCCGCGAGTAGAAAAAGGTTGCGGAACACTGTTCTAGACAATCAGCTCACAGATGGTGGTAAGGTTGTCAGCCTTATGCACTGGTCGCCCTTTAACCCCAAGAATATTCCTGGTACTCATTTCTGTTAAGAGGCTGAGTTGAACCCAGGGCCATAGTGCGGCTGGAAGAATTAGGTAAATTGAAAAAACACCTCATTAAGATTCGATCCCGTGACCTTCTGGCTTGTAGCAGTGCCTCAACCAACTACACCACCATGTGCCCCTCAACATGTTCCCATGGCAACAAATACATGTATGCCAATGGAGGAATTATTGTAGAATGGACACATAACAAAGAACCACTGAGAAAGCGTTTTGTATGGCGCATGTGTTGAATCTATATATGGAGGCTAGGTGGACAGTCAGTCAACACCATGTGATGGCAGGTCTGAAGGCCTCCACCATGGCCCTGTATGTCACAGGAGGTAATGAAAAAGGAAACCAAACCAGTGCCTGGGGATATAACTGGGCCACCCTGTTCCTGGGGGATATAAATATGGGACGTGACCCTCCAGGTTGTGGGAGTCTCAAATCTGAGACAGTAAAATAGTCATAAGTCCCGCAGGACTTGGACCCGAGAATGACTGTGCTGGTGAGGGCCAGCAGCAATTGTAAATGACAGACCCATCCTCTCATCAGAGAGGACGTTACATAATGACTACAACTTCAGTTGAAAGGAAATACTGGTCGTGGGTCTCCAAGGGCCTGGCACCAATACAAATTGATTGGAGGTAAACTGCCAGTTGTAAAGTAACTCTGACTGTGACTTTGACTAAGTCAGGTATGGCCTGGAAGCTGAGAATGTGAGGACACTGGAAAGTAAGGCAGTCACCAGCTGGTAATGACCTGAGCATAAGAGGACTCTGGTGGGAACTGTTACAAGACGACAACTGGTGAAGACAAACCGAGAAGACTTAGTACGTGCTCGAGTGAATTAGCGATAGCCCTCTAATTACTTGTAGTTACAATACATCCAATTACCAAATCCAAACCATGTCTAGTAACTAAATTCGTAATAGTATCTTCAAAGTTAATGGGGGGTCTTTGTTATTTGCTTACAAATAAAATTCTGGTGTATATGGTTCAAATGGGGAAAGGAGCTGGCTAAACATGACTTCAGACCTGGCGACCCCATTCAATGTGAGCAATTGGTGGAAGAGAAAAGTCTGGATAAAGGAAGATTGTTGCATCAAATAACTTGTTTTAGATTATGAACTGGGTTATTCCTGTGGGTTCAGTTCTTCTCATAAATCACAAAAAAATTATGTGTCTACAATCAGTTCTCACTGGGTACCAGGTCAGGTCTTATTCTCTTATAACATAAAACATTATTAATACTTCAATTTGTAATATGGTATGTAAAGGACAGAAACCTCAAAATCCATATACTGCTCTTCAGTTAGGGTCTTCTTTGCAACAACAAGAGTTCTGAGGCCTTCTCTTGCCATGTTACCACACTCTTCTTCCAACCAATCATTGTACTGAACAATACCAGACATGACTACATCAGCTCCCTTAAGGTAGAAAACAATTTCACCCGTGTGTTCTTCCTGCAACAAAACAGTATAACTTTTAACATTCCTTTTTGTATAAGCCAATTAGATGCATAAGAAGCACTCTTCAGAAAAAGAAAGTGCCCCCAGAGACACTGATGGAAGGCCATAATATGGCAGGCAACTAAAGAAGTTAATGGTGTCAAATATTTTACTATTCTTTGTCACTCTCAAGTAAGTTCTTTTACTAATCTTATCCAATTCCATTACTTTTCTACCTGGTGTTTTACTTTCAATATTACAGGCTGTGTTTTTAGACTGGCCCAGGGCTGCGCCATAGCTCAAGGGGTTAGTCGCTGGCTTCCCACCGTGGCAGCCCGGGTTCGATCCCGGGTCTGGTCAAGTAGGATTTGTGGTGGACAAAGTGGCAGGTTTTCTCCGAGTACTTCGGTTTCCCCTGCCAATCTTCATTCCACCAATTGCTCCACAATCACCCTCACCTATCATCTGGGGCTGGTACAATAGGCCAGAAGTGGCCGCAGTACAAGGGACTTAGTTCCACCCCACTAGCAACAAAAAAAATAGAGTGCCCTAGATTGTGCATCATAAGTATGGCGAGAACTAGTATGGCAGTGGTTGCATCTGGTATCATCCTAAAATTTGCTAGCAGTGAACAAGAAAAACCAGTCTCTCCACCAAGATTTTAACACAGGATATCCCAACTATGAAGTGGCAGTGCAACCCATTACACTGCAACATTTGGTAATATGTTACTTTCCGAATGAATTTATGGAAAAGATTTCCTTCCACCGACATTTTTTACACTATGCCAAAGCATGCATCAGCATCATCACATCAACAATGATGATAAAGTACTCACTAAAAGTTTAATTTAATGGGGTTTCACTGCATTCTTAGGTGTATCATGCTACAGCAGAGACAAGCATCCAGTAAGGAAATAGCTGAGTAACTTAAATTCTGAAAATTTCCAATAACTTTTATTCAGTACTACCATGTATATCTTCAGCTACATTGGTCTAAATTTCCCGCAGTTTATACCTTTAGTATGATACCCATACGTTTGGTCTCTGAAGTGAATGGAAAGACTTGCATGATGGTGTACGAGTGAGTCATCCCAGCTGGTGTTCGTAGGTGCATACTGGACAGATCTCGCCTCACTAGAGCTAAACCAACTTCCTCTGTCCACTTTACCAAAGCCACCTGTCAAAATAAAAATGTTAAATTACATGAGGAAATCAATGCAATGTCATGAAATGTTATTTATACTATCCTGCAGAAATTAGCTACAAGACAATTTTCACTCCAACGAAATACCAATGCTCTGACTCAAGCTCGTCTCCCTTTCTTTCTCAAGAACTACCATCATACATAATTCAGCCTGGTAGCATCAACTGAGGAAAAAACTGGACATGCAGTAATGTTTTATTCAGAATAATATATAAAAAAACCAGTGTTAAAAAGTGGAAAAAGTTTCAAATTACTAATGGCCACTGTACATACCTTGCCAAATTAGACTTAAAAGGCACAGGAAAATTCTGTGGAGCAGTGGATGGCAACACACCAATGTTTCAAAACTGCAAGCTTTTTGTCTGAAATTTCTTGCACACTCACCCACCATTCTGCACTTTGTCTTCATTGTGTGAGTTGTCAACTGGGTTGAAATAAGGCCTTATACATATTTAATGTTACATGAACCAATATTACAGACCCTTGCAGGATCACTATACTTGTACTGTTGGAATACCCATCCATAAAAATTTCAGAACAAAGAAACATATAAGTTTTGAGGTTTTCACGGCGATGACTATGAAGAAAGTCGTCTTCTGGGTTTAGGCGCCACGTATTCTTCGTTTTGGAGGAACGTATCGCCTCCATCTTCAGAGCAGTTGAATGACAGCAGTAGCTGTCTACTGCTCTCTGCATTCCAAGCCATTCAACTGCTCTGAAGATGGAGGTGATACGTTCCTCCAAAACGTCGGCCAAAATGAAGAATACGTGGCACCTAAACCCAGAAGACGACTTTCTTCAAAGAAACATGTTTATCCATGATCTCTTTATTCAGTATTCTATTAATGTAGATTAACAGACTGACTTCTTTCAGCCACAAGCAGCTTGAACACTATGCTGTCCCTAGCATGTTTCACCATTCAGACTGCTAATTTGTTGTGAATCTGTGCCCAACTGGAGTGGCTGTCTCACTGAACGATGCCATCAGATATAATCATGCAAAGTTTGTTTTTATCATTCCAAAGGATTCAGACTGTCATATTTTTCCATGTTTTACAGTCGTTCACTCAAGAAATTAAATCATTCTCACTATCTGAAATAAGTTTTCAGAGCTCCTTATCCACCAGCCTTCAAGCAGCAGTCACTGTAAGGTGAATGATTTGAGAGAATAAAGTGGCTGTTTTCCTAGTGAGCTGATTTCTTCTTATGCAACAAAGTTCCTCAAAGGTGACTGAGTGAACAGTTGTGGGAATTATCTAGCTCAAGACGGAGACATTTCAGGTAATGGTATTGTATAGGCTGACCAATGGAATGGATTCATTGCTTCTACAACTGACAAACTTTATGGCAGGGAAAGATTCAGATTCTAACATGTGATGATGAGAAGATTAAAAAAGACTTAATCTGGAGCACTGCTATGTTAAGTAGGTCTGTTCAGAAGACAAGATTTTAAAACATTCATGAGTCACAAAATCTGTGTGTCATGAACAATGCATGTCACACAAAATGACAAAAGGTATATCATTTAGTACAACAGAAAATGTACATCAATTACTCTATGAGGTAAGGTTCACACAGATGACATGTGTATATACATCAATGCTTTATTTCTGTGGTGAGTGAGTGTAAGTTTGTTACCTAATATAGCCTGATCTATTCTTCAGGTTCTTCAGGGAGGTTTTTACATCTGTTGACTGGTTCATGGCATTGCGCTTCATGGTGACCAATGCACTGCTAGCTGCAAGGTGCATACAAATTTTTCTGAAGAATCAATAATCAATGAATCTCTGATAATGTTCATAATGAAGTAGTTACAATTCACAGATCATATGAGGTGCTGAAAATGCTGTCCCTCTATATGTAGACAATCCTCGCACCGGTAGGTTTTGATTTAACCTATGAAGCTGTTCTGCAGGAATATTTGCAATATCCCTAGAAATATTTTCTTTCAGTGCTTCAATTCAGGGGTTACAATTGTAAACTGTCCTTCAAACAACCCCAGAATAAATCACAAAGAGTAAGATTGGGTGAACGTGCTGGCAAAATGCCACAGCTGATAATTCTGTCCCCGAAGTCATCAGACAAAGTCTGCATGGGCATACATGCAGTGTGGGCAGCAGCTGACTCTTGCTGAAACCAGCCATAGTCTCTCTTCTTCTGTTAACTCTGAAAAGAACTGCCTGAAAATAACCTGTACATATCTTTCACAACTGTTTCATTAAAAAACACAGGTCCAACAATCTTTCTTGCACTTAAAGCACAGCAGATACAAACTTTCACCGGGTGGAGCAGGACTTAGTGGGTTAGATGTGGATTCTGCGAACTTCAGTAGCAATTATTTTGCATATTTATGCATCCCTGCAAGTGAAACCATGTTTCATCAGGAAAGAATGTCAACTGCATACTGATCTCATCTCTGATGACAGACTGTAGAAACCAACTGCAAAAATGAACCCTGCCAAGCTGGATTGTGTGTGGCTGCAAGCTGTGGATAACTGCTGTTTTATTGGGTCTAAGGTTCAGCAAATTTGTTGCCCTTCTTGCACTAGACTTTGACACCCGTCTCTTCAGTTAGACGTTTCAGTGATTTTCTAGGTGCGTGTTCAAATCTGGTCCCTATGTCATCTAACCTTTCTTGGTACTCACTCGGCATTTGTGTTTTCGTTTATTTTCTATTGACAGTCCTGTTGATCTAAGTTTATTCACCAAATTGTTAATTGTCAGCTGGAAACTATTTCTTCATGAAATTTACATCAAAATTTTCACCAACACTTTCTAGCATATCTGTATTTAATATAGGTGTCATACAGAAATAAACACTGCTGTAAAGTACACTGCACCATAACAGAACACACTGCTCACTGATTGTAAATGAGAACAAACAGTTATTGGAGCTGATAACTGCCGCTCACTTCTGACAAATCACAAACAAATTCCCATGCACAAACCACACATCTCACCATGAAACATAAGGCTGTCAGGCATACTGATTTAGCAACAAAGTTCATTATGTGCCTTGCAGCTGGCCATGAAGTAGAGAGCCTTGAACCAGTCAACAAAGGTCCTGTACTTCTGGTTTATGTTTCCTATGGGGAGGATGGTTGACAGGTTGCATATAGATTGTAGCCATCTGAAATGTGAATGTGCACATGTGCATCTAACCTGTTTTGGTAAAGCTTTATGTACAATCAGTTCCTTTAATATAAGAGCATGATTTACTTATTACAATTCTCTTTGAGAACTGTTTATTTATAATAGTGCATTTCAGAAGTTTCCTGTAAGGCAGCACCAGTGTATAATGGTTTGTACCGTTAAAACCCTTTTAGCTATGGCAACAGTAGCTACAACATGTAGCCTCTGGGCAGTACAATCACTGTGTCTGTTTAAGTGGCGCTAAGCTTATGAACTCTGCAATGTGCAGGTTTTAAGAATGAGAATGTGAATGCAGGGATCCAGTTCCATGAGTTGTCTAGAAATATGCCACAAGAGTCACAACATGTTGAAGGATGGCTCCAACTTTTCTTGTGTTAATATCTGATTATATTTTGGTTTCTTGTATTAACATGCCAGCTCCTTTTACTTTAATAACAATATTCCATGCTCTATGAGGAACCTGAACCTAGGAAAACTTTCTTTTGGATTTCCTGTGACACTTCCCAGTCAAATTACATATCACAAAACACCTGATACTCTAGTACAAACGTATTCATGTCCAATGCAAGGGGAACCATGTGACAAATGAAAACAAAATTAATGAAAGCATGATCCCACAAAACTACAGCTGTAAGCACTTTACAGTCACACGAACCACTAATGTCCGTAACTGGTGTCTTCAGTCAGTTCGCAATGGGAAGGTTGAATCTAAATTGATTTTTTTTCTGGTTTTATTTGAATCAACATGTGAATACATATTGTGGCATTGCTAAGCAACACCTTCGTAAATATGCAACAGTACAGGAGCTGTTGACAGGAAGCAGCCTGTGGGCAACAATGGAAGTGGTATTTTCTATGTGGTCTGCTCTGAGGCTATATCATTTGATCAACCAAGTTCAGTTAGTGCAGTGCATTGGGGAAAGTTGGTTGGCAAGCAGGTGAGTTAGTTAGAGGACTGCTGCTGTTCAGTTTTTGCAAGTTGTTGTTGTCAGAAGCTGGTAGCTGAAGCACAGGGATAGGTTAGGGAACCAAGAGTAAGGGAAACATCCACGACTGGGAGCCATTACCGAACAATGACTGCTGAAGACAGTGCATGCTGTAGTGAACTGCTGCATGTGTGAATTAGTGAAACACTATAGTTACAATCCGTAAGTGGTCAATAAATCCAGTTACCAATCCAAACTCCATCTATAGTCATTTCATACATGTAACAATATAACAACAATTACTGGAGCATAGAAAATCGAATCTCTTACATGAACCTTCACTCCATAATGTAAAAGTTGGTGTGTGGTACATTCAAGTATACAGAGAATTATTTTCTTAGACACATACAATTCTGAAATATAGATAATGCCAAGTGGACCATTAATCTTCAAGCTATGATATTATAACCACAGTGCTTGCAGTGAGTGTGCACAGTGGAAAGGCAGAGCATCAGCAAAGCAGCCAAATATTTTCACTACATTTCTCATTGCTGCTGGTATAGATTTCGCTTCTTCCACCCCAGTATAGTCACTTGTAGCATCTTATGAGAAGGATATGACCAAAGTGACCAATCAGCCAACTGCCAACATCTTACACAATTCCTTTTACTATCAAGCTGAGCAGTCTCAGAACTAAAAAGACTCAGAAGCTGAAAGATTTATATCAACAGGAAAATGATGAAAACCATTACAGTGACTTTTAAGGAAAACATATGGTTTTCTAAGTAAAGTACAGTCCACAATAAATGGCATTCTTTTAAATAGAAGAATATACAGTGAAACCTCACTAATTCAGAAATCTTCAATAATTTGGATGACTTTTTTTTTTGCTTATCATGACCTTGATGATCACACTGCTGCATGCAGCGATCATGTCAGACATCAAGGCCAACAGTACTAAGTAGGAAGGCTACCTAAAATGTTTTTAAGGGTGATGTCAAAACTTACATTTTTATATTTTATAGCATGTAAATCTATTTTAAGATATACAATCTAAGTTTCAGAATAAAGTTGTATTGCCTAAAAAGATGTGTGAAGTCCATTTTGTAACTTCCCTGAACATATTTTCAGTAGCACTTCTATAATATGGACTTTCACTAATTTGGGTATGAGTTTGCTCCCAATTAGACCAATCAGTGAGGTCTTATTGTACTTGAAATTCCACTCACTTCATCTGGACTGGATGCTTGGTAAACACACGTTTCCTTTTTAGGCTGCCAATAATGTTGATCAGCTTCTGTTTGACTTTCTACTGAACCAGGGCTTTCATCACAGTCACCACCTTCTGTTCTACTCTCTTGGCCACTGGATTCTTCATATACTGGAGTTACATTGTGACATAATGCAACTGCCTTCACAGCCTCCTGAACACGTGTTACCTCGGATCGTCGAACCTTTGCAAACAACATTACTTAACATCTGCAACAGATTATCTATAATCCATAATATACAACTACAAGGTGGTCACTGATCATCCATGAATGGCTAAGCAGTTCAGTAACATACACACTCCCAATATTATACCATAATTCATTTTCATATCACACTTGTTGGCATTAACATTTTGGAATGAACATGAAAATATTGTTTTCATGAAATATATCTGATGTAAGAAGCAAGAGAAATGAAGTATATTCTTCTGATTATCCGTATACTCAGATCTTGTAAACTTAAAAAAAGATTCTAACACTATTTAAAATGGGGGAAATAACCTTATCTCTGGATGATTTTCTATTGTGGCAGATAAATACACTAGGATCTTTTTAGGCAATCAGTCATGTCATAGTTGAGTTTAAAACCAACATTTCAGAAACTCCTCTCTTCATCATCAGGGTTGATACAGGGAGTAACGCTAAGCTGCTGATATACATTCAATTAATGCAACACCCCTTCCTTGCTGTTGTGCTGGGTGACAAGAGAGCAGTCAGGCTCAGTATGCGTCACTGCTAACACATAGTGTCTTCCAATCACCAGCCAGCCTGTGTCTGTTATTCCTTAACCTGATCATAAAGGGTTACAGCAGTAACTTCTTGTGTGTGTTTCATATTTAGCCCTGGTTGTACCATCCCCCCAGAATGAATATCCTAGAGAATGGTAGTCTATCAGTAGGTCTATCATGTTCAGTGTTGTTTAACCTGCCCTCATGGTCATATTCCATGATTGGCTCAGTTTGAATGAAACCCAACATATCCAACATCACTGCCAAGATTTCACCGATGACACTACAGGCATGTCTATGAACATGCTTCACTGTGCTCAGTCATGTACACAACATGCTGGCGTATGCTTTCAAAACTTTTTCTAACAAGATGTACTCTAAACACCTTATGCTGAACGAAGTTCTTGGTTGAAAGAATCACCAGCTCTGTGTATGAGCTTCATCAAAATGGCCCTAGCCCTCTACCCTCTAATACACGATATTATTAACCCTTTGACGTGGTCATTTAAATTCCGCGGCCGCGGCTCCTGCGGTAATATATTCAGCCGGCCATTTAAATTTTGCTCGAAAATTATTTATTCATCATTGTTCTTAAATTCTATGAGATAGGAACATGAAACTTTCACTAAAATGATCTTAAAAGGTGGTTTTATAACCTTACCTTATAATATGAACCCCCTTTATATCTTCAATGGAAGCAGGTTGTTTAGTATATGAGCAGTGAATGGTACGCTTTGAAGGATGAAACTTTCACTAAAATGATCTTAAAAGATGGTTTTATAACCTTGCCTTATAATATGAGCACCCGGTATCTCGGCTATGTAAGCAGGTGACGCCTTGAAGCATTAGTCTAAACACAGCGCTGGCTCAAATCACCAAACCAATACTGCGTATCTTTACTTTTGCTTTCTTTTTTCTAACCACACTTCTGTGCGGCCCTGCCTTCTTCCCCGTGGGGGGAATACAAGTGGAAATGTCCCTCCGTGAGTCGTATATTTTGACAGATTAGCTGCAGTAAATTCAACCTTTGTGTTATCATAACAAGGGTTTGGTGCTTCTGCGTTTCAGATTCCAACCTTTTCGGCTCCCCAGATGTCGTAGGGGTGACCACAGAATTCATGAAGTTATTATAAGAACTGGCTGGTATATAGTGAACGAAAGCAGAGCTTAGCTGGCTCAAAAAAAATATTTATGGTCATCCCTCGAAACGACCACCAAGGTCAGTACGATAAAATGGCGTCAACTGGAGCGATAATGAGTACTTTTCCCTCCCCCACACACATCCGTATCGTCTCAGGGGGTGACCACAGTGTTCTGCCTTAAATTGTGGCGTTTTTCTAAGAAATGGGTGCTATGTACTGTGCGAAAGCAATCGATTTTACAAGAATAAAATTTTGGACAACCCTCTTCTAAGAATGCCATTTGAGTGTGTCAGTGTGGCCAGCTCGGGGCAGTATCATATTATAAACACATCACATCACGTCTCTCTTGTTTATAACTTCGTAGCAAAGAATAAACGACATTCATAGCGGTGAAACCGCTAGCAAGAGCCACAGGAACTTTGCTGCAAGACAGGCATATGTAACAATGACTTATCTCAGCTAAACTCGTTGGCTTAGTATACTCTGTTCTTGTGACAACAGGCCAGCGAAAAATCTAACAATCTACAGCAAAACCATCAATTATTATGGGCGTTATAACATAGGTGTGCAGCTGGACGAAACATACACGCCGAACCCCCCCAGACGATTTAAATCCCTGACGAAACATACACGACGAACCACGGCAACGGGTTAACATTTCTAACACTACACTGTCACATAAAAGACTCACTCTGTATGTGGTCTTGACAGTGATAGTATTGCTAGATCAAAAATTGAAAATACTGGTCAACTGGTTCAAGACTCGAAAGAACAACACAGAGATGGCCTTGTAACTTTATAAGCACACATTCTTTCATTAATATAATCAATTAGGCTAAAAAATATGATTAAAAGAATGTCCTCTCCTAAATATGTTTGTCTCCATACAATTTATCTATAAAACATTTATTACATGGTACACACTTCAGCAGTTTAATTCCCTCATTAATATGCAACATGTACCACTAATTACAGAAAGAAAACCAAACATGATGACAAGAACATAGCTTATTGCTGTGTAGGATGCATATAACTGGTGGGAACAGCGATCACTCCAGTGGAGGCATATGACACCCTGCAATGTCCACAGCAACAAACCCAGGTAAATGGAAATGCTACTGTAGAAGTGATTCTGTCCAACATTGCAGCTGCTGCATGCAGCAGTTGCACAACATCACAACGGACTTTGGTCCTACCTTGAACTAGTAGTACTGAAATCAATCCATAATAACCCATCTTTGTGCACAAACTTATTTCATGGCAAATTTCAGAATGGCATACAAAATATGAGGTAGGGTTACCGTACATGCCACCAACTGCAAAATGAATGTCAAACAGAAGTTTCAAACTTGTAAATCTCATTTATGCTACTGTACTACATAACATTTTCCATTTTTAAGATTCTGCGGCACTTGAAGGAGCATTTTTATAGGTCTCAATCAAGAAGAAGACTAAAAGTAAAGTCCCACAAAGGTTTCAGTACTTTGGATCCACCGCTAGATGACGCCGGAAACACATGGAAAGGAGATGGAATGGTACTTCCCCCTCCACCATCCAAACTTGACTGTTTGGCGAGCTGAGCATACGCTGTCCTTAAATGTGAAGTAACCTGGAAGGAGCAGAAAAATGTAATTGTAATATAATCAGTCTCACAATCTTCTAATGTCAAATAATTTGCACTGAAAATAAAATTATTTTTTAATTTCAAATAAAGAAAGATATATTCCTTACAATTTTAGGGGAAACTAATGAATGGCCTACAAATATTTTGTCTCTGGACATTTTTTATTTAAAAACTCAGCATTTTGGAGACTGGATTCCGTCTCTGTTCTAAGGTAAAACCTACTCAGTTGACCCCAATCGACAGAGCTAGTCCTTATCTCTGGACACCTGTACCAACACCAGATAGGGTACACAAGAAAAGCACAGCACAAACCATCGGCTAGAGGTATGACAAAACATTACAATATTAAAATTCCATATATATGAGGCTTCAATATGGATCCCTCTTTCCCAAAATGCTCACCTTTACAAATTCAAGATGTAATGGAATTACTGTACATCTGTTCAACGACTATGTACTTCCAATCTGAGGATAAGCTCTATCAGCAAAAATTGAGTATGGCAATGGGAAACTCACTATACCTGGTTGTCAATAACATATTTGAATTGAATTTATTTACATTCTATAAATCCTAAGTAGGTTAGTACCTTTGGATACAGAACAAGTCAATAGGTTACATACATAAGTACAGGCAATTTTAGCTTAAAAATTAATATAACTTAATTTTACATCATTCTCTATTTACATTGAAGTATTCATCTAAAGAGTAGAAGGAATGAGCATGTAGATAATTCTTTAACTCTGATTTAAACTTTTTAGTATCATTGCCCAAGTTTTTAATACTTTGTGGCAGATTGTTGAACACTTTTATGCCAGTAAAGTAGACTCCTTT